TACTTCTGTGTTGCTGTGCCATGATTAAAGTGCTTTAAAGATCCAGAGGCCTGAGACTCTACTGTGGGAAACCCAGTGCCAAGCTGGTGGGGAAACCTGGTCTGGCTCTGAGCGTGGTGTGTGTAGGGGGTGGAGTGGGGCAGCTGTCCACGGTTTGGTACCCACAGTGACAGCCTCTGGTGGTGGGATGTGACTGTCAGAGAGCCTCCTGGGTGGTGAGACAGGAAAGTTTCCTTCACATCAGCATGAACAGAGCAGAACCTGAATTGGTCATTTATTTTACCAGTTCAGGCTCAGAGGGTTGTTTTACCTCATGCCCAGTGCCAGGTGGGCATTTCTCATCTCACCTTCAAAAAACTTCCTGCTTCTAAACTGAGAGGTACAACCATTTAGGCCAGAGCAACTTCTCAACCACTGCAGTATCCCTTTTTCCAAACACCACACATTCTAGCAGGATGCCTCACCAAACTACCCAACTCTCCTTAAACAGCATCAGCCCAGAAACAAGCAAATAAATAATTAATGCCACTTTATAACATGCCAATCCACCTTCTGGAGCTAAGAAGGATTTGGAGTTGAATTAATATTTCCATAACAAGTTTGTAACACCTGCCCTGAGGAGATTTCACTTTGTTCTCCAGGATTGTATCCTGAAACAATTGTGGCCTTCTGGGCATTGAACTCCAGTTATGGACGGAATAGATTTGCTCAGAAGAAACTGGGCAACCAATAGCCTAATCAGTTACCTAACGAAGGCTAATCCTCTGGGATTTCCTATAATAAAGAAGGATTCTGGAGAGGGAAGATGTTCAGCCTAGTCCAAGCTCAGATGGAATCAATGCAGCCTGTGTGCAATGTCTCTCAGATCCCAATACAGCTGTGTGTCCCTCCATAGGTATAAAATCAGCACTCTAATGCATTTTGAGTTGCAAAGAGGCACCCAAAAAATCCACATAATCTGGTAGTTACAATGTCCTGGAGAATCTTTCCCATTCCTGAGGGTGCCAGAGGACATGGATTTGAACAAAAAGCAGACTCCTGTCTATTGAGCATCTGATCCATATTTTCTTGATCTGAAAACCCACCACTACAGATTCAGATTTATATACACCTTTACTTTTCTTAAGGTACCAGATCCCTAACGCAGAGCTGATTCTAAGCCATAGCCACAGTGCAATCCTGCTATTGTAACATTTTGTCCTGGTTCTGACCAGGACAGGGCTAATTTTTGCCAGGGCTAATTTTTTTGTTAATTTTTTTTATCATCTCCAGGTAGATGATAGAGATGTCCAGGAGAGGGTTCTGTTCAGAAGATACAGTAGCCAGGAAAGGGCAGGGACAGTACTCAGGGGTTATTCTCTGCCACCACATTGACAGGGGGCAAGGGAAAGGCTCAGCCTTTCTGATAGGGAAATCACAGAACTCTCCACC